TAGTTTGTAAACATTTCCCATCAGTAATAAAAGGTTTATTTGTTTCATAACCCTGTCTGCTATTCTTCAGTAATTACGATACGATGTATCAATACATGCGTGAACAAAATTATGCTAATGAGGTCATCGCCATCTTGGATTACAAGCGGTAGTTTTTTCCGGTCGTTTCGACTTGCACTGATCACGGTTACCGATACTAAAAAAGTAACCGTGCATTGATTACAATACTTACCATAATTGTAGCCAATTTCAGTGAGTAATACAACTTCATTTGCTGACATAAAACAAGTTTTATTCTTGAAATTCGACCCTGTGTTTTAGTGTTCCCACAGTTCTTGACCAAGTGCTCACGTTATTGAAACCTCGCATGAATCAAGAAATAAGTTTGTGTACAAAGTGTACGAAAGCATTCCTTTATTTGACCTTATCATACGATCACAAAAACAACTTTTTAAAATCTTTTTTGGGGTGGTCCTCGGGTAAGCGCCCACCCCCAATTTTTCCCGATTTTGTATGTTCAGGCCCCTGGGCGCGTGCCCGGGGTAATACGGTAGTTTCACCTCCACACCGTCACTGTACAGGCCTAATCACCATATACCATTTTCTAATATCCTTCAGATCTGAGACAAAATTCGATAAACTCATGATTTATTGTGTAACCTGTCAGAACGTATCCAACCGATGCGACAGAATTGCCGCACAATCCCTTGAACTGTTGCTCTCGCCTCACAGGAAGCGAATAATCTCCATCTCAGTGTCTTCGTCTACACGCTTTGACATAATAGCAATAATTGTTCAAAATCAGAAACTGCATTCAAGACTAAACTGTTCTCATGAAGTTAATTTAGGTAATTTCATTATATATTACGGGCATTTTTAAATATTTGTGTCAACTAGGTTTATTATTTGCGTGAAACGTTCAAAATAGAATTTATTAAATGAACGAGCCTATGTATGCATGAAATAATAGAATGTCCGATATCAACAATGAGTAAAACATAATTGTTTGATGAATATTTGACTGAACGCTTACGCATTGTAACAGTTGAACCCATCTGAAACCCTGGACCATTGTTTTGATTAACTGTCGCATAGGCAGGTACACAATGTATGTAACTTTATTGCGTCTACAACGGTCACTGGATCGTCTAGGAAAGTGTCTGGGGATGTTGCAAAGTCCCTCGGTAATTGCCTACCAGGTGTGGGATTTAGGTGTATGTAAATATCTTGCACCTGCTGTAACAAAATTACTTAGTACATGAACTTTATTAACTCTATAGATCCTAGATGACAGAGTGGAGGTGTTCATATTGGTGATTGTCTGTCATCAACAATTTCATTTTCATCTATTTGAAAACTCCAATTTGATACTTGATATATGTGTATCTTGGATGGACCTCTATTAGATTAGTTTCTTCTATGCATTAAGGGGACACTCACAACTTTGCTGAAACTATGGAACTATTTTCAACCACTGTCTCATTAGGTGCTGACAGACAGACCGACAAACCTGATCACCATGGTTACCCGGTACTATCAGCCTTAGTGGGTTCTTTAAAAAAGACTATTCCATCCAAATGTTTGTACTGACCTCGTATGTAATGGCTCTTTTTGTCTCTGGATCCATTTTTTCTAACTCTTCTGGATCAATTCCTGTTGCTGCGGTGATACTAGAAGTAAACAAAGAATGACATCTCAAACTTCAAACTGTTAGCTTGGGACATTGGGTGAAACCATTACAGTCAGCTATAAAGCTGTTCCACAGAAGTGTAACACACAACAAAATACTGTTTTTCATATTACAATGAAACTGAAGTTAATGGAATAGTCATACACCAATTTTCTCAAAAATTATTCGTAGGCTTTTTCTACCAGACATATAAAGACTTACTTCAAGTCAGTCACTTCAATTTTCTTCTTTTTTGCGGATTCTCTCATACTTTCATAAAACCGTAGAGCTTCCAGTTCCTCCGAGGTGAACATATTCTTACTTGCTTTACGTTTCTTGGTTTTCTGGTAAAAAAAATAAATGTAAGTCATTGTATGACCTAGGTTTGACATTTTACACTCAATAGCAAAATATGTGTATGATCAGTTCACAAGCCTTGCCTTAATTTAACATAGTGAAACTTTGAAAGCCTTGCCTCAGTTCAACATTGGGAAACAATTCAAGCCTTAAACTATCCAAGCCATGTCTCAACTGAACATAGAGAAACTATGCAAGCCTTGTCACAGTTGAGCAGGAACTATGCAAGCCATTGCTCAGATAATCAAAGAAATTATTCAAGCCATCCCTTTGTTGAAGAAATATGTTGGCCTTATCTCAGTTGAACATAAACTATGTAACCCATGCCTTAGTTGAACAGAAAGTATACAAGTCGTGCCTCAATTGAACATACTATAATACAGTTTGAAAGTCTACCTTTTCCTTTATGACTGAAGTATCCACATTTTCCTCATCACCATGGTAACCAGGTTTGTCTTCATCACTTTCATCTAGCAAAGATGATAACTTCTTTGCCTTAATCTTCTTGTGTGTTTTATCTTCTCGACTGCTGGTATCCTTTTTAACTGAACCTCTTTTTTTGGTTTTCATTACCATCTTTTCTCCAGCTAAAAGTGTTGTTATTTCCGGTTCTAGCTTCTTGTCCAGAGGTTCAAGTTGTTTAATGAGCTGTGCGGTACAATGTAACAATAAATTAGCCGTGGTCATCATGACATGTCGTGTTTAATACGAGTCACAAACAAAGTATAATTACATTTCTAATGGGTGATACACAATGAATGAAAATCTTGTCATAATTTTTATATTACTAATTTTTTCATATGATAATTATCATGGTGACTTGATAAGAAGAGAAGAAGTGTACTTACATTTCGGTATGCAACTAATCTTCCAATCACAGGGTGATTATGTATTGGTGTATGACGTGACTTCAATATCATGTAAAAACTTATATTTATACAATAACTTGAAAAAAATTAAATGTTCAATTAATTTCTATGAGTAAACAATATAGAAATATGCAAATATTACTATGGTTACACAAGGCAAGCTTTCTTCATTTTATCTGGAGTTTGTTTTCGTCATGTACCTGTCACTATTATATATGTAAACATCTAGTGAGAACACTGATTGTATGCATGGCAATACTTTTACATACACATAAAGTTACACCCCCATTATTGTAATATAAAACACTTACTTTAAATAAAGTTTATATTTAGTTTTTATGTACATTGCACCTTTATCTGTAATCTGATCATTCTGCAGGAGGTTCATAAGTGGCTGCAGTTTATCTATCACTTCTCTAAGCTGTAAATAATGTGAATACATGTAAGACGGGCTAGGGAATGTAAGCCAGTTCAGCAATCTAGTAATTTAAAACAAGTCATTGTCAATGACACGTCCCCGTTCCGTTCATATTTGAGTGACATATACATTCAAAGCAGATCATGACCGAAATGCACCTGCATATGTACAACACATTGTACTAAATTTGAACAAAATTCATCCATGCATGACTGAGATCCGGTTCCGGAATTGTGAAAATACGTGATTTTAATGCATTTTCGGCCTTAAAATGGCCATCATTCAGCTATTGTTAAGCGGATAATGAAACAAATGCACATATCTATTTGTGACATGATGCACCATGTGTGTGTGAAGTTTGAACTTGATCAATCCAGACATGTCTCGGATACGGATCCAGAACTGAATTCTTTAAAACAAAATGGCCGCCAGTCGGCCATTTCGAACTTGATCCGAAAAAAAAAA